TATTTCAATTGCAGATTTCCTATTAAAAGAGAGTTTGTCCTTCCCCCTGTCACCAAGTGCTTCCTCATTGTTGGTGTTTTCTGTGTATTACTGTAAGGCCTTTATCTTGAGGCAACTGTTATGATTTGGCAAGATATGAATATTATATTACAAAAAGATTACATTTCAGATCACATCCAGTTGAGAATTCATGGCAGACTCACTCTGTCTTATTGCTGGTTTGTTGCAATTTGGACGCACCAAAGTTTCTTTGAATACAGCAACTGACTGCACGTGGTCACAGATCTGTTCCCCATCTTCAAAGAAACTATTTCAGTGCCAGCGAGAGTTCGATGTACACATTCACAATAGTTTTGGCCATGCTGCAGTCTCCAGTCACTGTTTCTCCTACAGTGACTGCAACATTAGGGAATAAACTACATCATTTTGACATGAGGTAGGCCTCAGTCGCACAGGTCTAGAGGGATGGTCGTTTACCCTCTGGCAACCATAGATCATAGGCAAAAGTCTGTATTTCCCAGCTGGTTTATGGTTGTTTCTACTTCAAAGAGGGTGATGAGCTAAAAACCTCCTTTTGAGGTCTTTGGTCACTAGCAGATAGTCACAATCGTGTGAACAATGCCAACTTGTCTGTAAAAACTCACAAGCACCACTGAAACTTGACAGTGTGACACAAACCAAGAACAGAGCATGTTCAGCTTCAAAGTAAAAGTTGTTGTGCCATCAGTGCACATTTTTCCCCTGCAAATGGTGGTTTCGAGGGGTTGCCAACCGGCCTCTCAGCCTTTGTGACTGAGACCTTTGTAATTACTGATGTTAGTGGACTGAAAATTCTCAGCTGCATCTCTGCATGATTTAATTTAACTAAAAAGAAGCAAAGTCATGTTACACACAAATTTGAATCACAGCCTCTTCACTGAATGTTCAACAGCCTGAAGACTTCTAGAAAAAAACGAGGCACACTTAATAACTGATGGAGGTTTAATGTCAGTAAAGGAACCTTGACTCTCCACCTGAACTATTGGCAGTCAAGGTGCCTTGTGGGTAATGTAGGCATTGTGTTATGTAGCGCTGAAAGAAATTGTGGAATAAAAAAACAAAAATATATCTGGATCTGATGCATCTGTTTAGATATTTTTTTTAAAAGTGTTGATTGTCAGTCTGACAGTGTTATCCAGGGAGTACTCCAAAACCAGTGACCTGTGAGGATGATGGGCAGGAATGTGTGAATCAAATCTCACTGAAATACAAAATATCTGCCACATGGTGACACAAAATGTGAGAAGATATCATAAAACTTAAGATTCATCCTCTGTAAACCAGGCCACTACCTGCAGAGATATTTGAGTCTGGACCAAAGCAGTGGAAGTTTATTTAGCATACACCAACGACATTACCTCCCTCTTACCCTTCTGACTTCCTGACAGATGTTTCAACGAGGAGAGCTGCCTGTCCCTGAAGCAGCTCGAAGGATACTTGGTGGTTCTTCAGCCTGACGCTCCTCAGATCTCTCTGTCTGGGGTTGGGCCGCATCTGGCCCGTCCAGCTCCTGAGTTCGAAGGTCCCCGCGGCGTCCCTCTCTTCCCCGAACTCCGGATCGTCTGTTCCCTGTCTCATGCTGTCAACACAGCTGCACAAGGGATGGAAGGTGGAGGTGAGTCACCCGTCGTCTCTAGTCTGATTTAAGGAGATTTAACAGCAGATTCTGTAGTCTGCACACATTTCTGTCTGAAAAGCGTTAATTGTGTCATTATTTGAGTTTGACCTCCAACATTGTCTGCTAGCTCTGATGTCCGATGCTGTCGCTCACACTTTGGATGGCTGTGAGGTCCAACCACTGGGGGAGGAGCTAAATCCAGAGAGAGAGGAGCTTCTGGTAGACATGGATGTTGTGCGAGAGAGAGGACTAGAAATCATCAATACTACTGCTTATATTGCCATCACAGGTACAGCTGTGCATACACCTCTGTTTTTAACCAGACCTGCTTTGATTAGGTATGAAAAGTTAGGCAGACTTAGGGCCATAAAACCATAATTTATTAGATAATTTGAATTTAGTTGTTCCCATGTCTCTGTTTTAATGTTCCTCATATTAGCATTTCACAGTTCAAACTTAACCTTCTTATTGGTATAACTTGGTTTATGTCACAGGAAAGGAAAACATGTCATAGCATTGTGATTCAAATATTGCTAAGTCTTGATTGGTGCCAATCCTTATAATAAAAACCCCTCATTATAATTAATATATTAGGTTGCCATGAAGTTTAAAACAAAAGCTAACCATCTGATAAGAGAGAGCGACTAATCAGTCACTCCTTTTTAATCTCCTCCTGTTATTTCTCCTTTGTCTCTGCATTGACTTCTTGTCTTTATTTCTGTGCTGTCCTTTTTCCTTTGTTTGTGTTTTGCACCTCCACAGGTGCTGAATCTATCTCTGTGTATGAGGACGTCCTTCGCTCTGTCCGCTACCGACTGGCTAAAGGCTCAGCTCGCTTTGAGAGACGATTCCGCCTGTCCTGTTCTGAGATGAATGGCAGATACACCAGCAACGAGCTGACTCTGGAGGTGAAGATAACCATCAGCCAGTCACATTAGTCTTTGTCGCTGTCAGAGATGACAATGCCAAAGACTGATGGTCACGTAACATCTGAAATGACATAAAAATCTTGTCTGTATCATTACATGCACACACCGTTGTAATTCAGGTTAGACCTACATTCTTACAGTTTAAATGAGCCACCACCAACAGCCATATTTGCTGTGGAGAAGCAGGGACTTGCATGATTTTGCCTGTAAGGCAGCATTAGGAGACGTGTGCTCACAATTTGGTGCCAGATGGCTGGATGGCAAAGGACAACATTACTGTTTTTTCCTTCCGGGTGGACGTGTCCCAGTAGCTCTGATATCAAATGAAAACTGTGGATAAGGAGTTACTGCTGACCATTCTCCACTGACTTCTAGTATCAACGAGGCATTTTCTCCCAGAGAACTGACACTTATGGTTGTGTAGGAAAACTCCAGCAGATCAACAGTTTTTGTAATACTCGTCTGTTGGGCACCAACATCCATGACAAATTCAAAATCACTTCATCTTTCTTCCCTATTTTGATGCTCAGTTTGAACTTCAGCAGGTCGTCTTGAGCATGTTTGCGTACCCAAATGAGTTGCTGCCACGTGATTGGCTGAATACATATTTTATTTAACAAGCAGTTTATCAGGTGTAGCTAACAACACCCGAGTGTATCTTCCAATGATAACTGCAATTGGAGATGTTGTGAGGGAGCAACGCAGTTTAACCACACAGCCAGTGAAGTCATTCTTTCTTCTTCTCTGTTTTTAATTCCCTGTAGGTGAACTTCCTCCACTCTTTGGACAGTCTGTACCACCCATCCCACCTGCTCGCTTCCCAGCAGCAGTTCCTCCATCCGTCCCACCATGCTGGAGAGTTGAGTGGACACACCCTACCTAATCCACATCGCAACTCAGGTGACATTTCTGGGGGGTTTTTTAATAGCACCTTTTTCAGATGTCTTAAAGTCTTTCAGCATGAAAGATAAAATAATGTTGAATACCAAAACATATAAGTAATTAAAACTAAAGTAAATATAAATTGGACTTAAAAACAGCCCAGTGGGTGCTTTTTCCAATATTTCTTTTAAAGGTGACTAAGATCTACAAAGATGTTACAATTTAATAAAAAACAATGGCAAAAACACTTCCTACCTTAATTAAAGTCACAGACACTAAATCACACTGGTGATAAAATACTGCAGTAGTTTTTGAAAGTCTGTCCAAACACGCAGACCTCTGAATGTAATCACCAGGATTTAATCTATATGATGAAAGAGCCTTTGGATTTGGTTACAGATATAATGTGTAACCTAATCCGGTGTCAAACATCTGGCCTGGGTGCAAATTTGGCACCCTTTCAC